GGAAACAACCCCTTTCAGCAACAGCAAGCAGTTACAACAGCTAACCCAGTTTCAAGAAACCTAACTGGAAACTGGATGCTTGGAAAGCTACCACCATATTCTTTGTTCGGTCCTGGCCATGAGGTCCTCAGAACATCATTTTAAATCCCACACTTTTTTTTTTTTTTTTAAAAAACCATTCATTAAATTCTTAAGCTAACAAAGTACTTCAAGAGTTATGACTGTATGAATAAATCATAATAATTGAGAGTACTTTAGATGTCTTCAGCTTGACAACCATTACTGAAGTTGAGTGAACAGTAAAAGCATCTCATCTGCAACAAATCTGCTTGAGCTGTTAGTCTAATTTGTTCAACTGTGAAAGTTCAAGAAACTTTCACAACCTTCCTATCCTCACCATAACTAACAATACTGATCATAACAGTCTTTTCTACAGTTGCATCAAAAACAATAACGTCATAACACGTTTGGCTTCCAAGTTCACACCTGAATTCACGTTTCAGTGTGAAGTTCACATCATTCTTTAATCAACTTCTCAGTAAGAGAGTTACTATTCTTCTAAGATTTATCTTTTATGATACATTTATTTATTTAAATGAGCATTATGGTACTTGCATAGACCTTCTTACACATAAGAATCTGTAGTATTAAGTTTTTAAGACTCATCACCATTTGAGAAAATCTAGCACTGGATCTAGGATACCTCAGACCACACAACAGTTTCCCGCCACAACAGCTTAGTTAGTTACAGCTCTCAGAGAAAGTTCATGGAATAGGGCCTGTGCCCAACTTCTACAGAAGTACTGCTTATCTCTGAGAAATACACGTAATATCTGCAATACAGATGAAAGGGCCCAAAAATACTGCCAAAGAATAAGGGTTTTGTACATAAGACAGAGGATACATAATGAATCTATCAAAGAACTTCTCTTCTTAGAGGTGAGAGGCAAAGAGAGGCAAAGAGGAGAAAGGGAGATAAATGGGTGTAAGGAGCAAAGAAAGGTGAAATGGGTGTCTGATTGACCAATTTTGTCAGTGACCTGACATAAAAGCAAAGGACCTGACCTCTCTTTTGCAAAGTTCGCTTCTTCCAGCTGACAAGGATTTATCAACAGAAGGGCAGTTTTCAGTTGCTGTCTAAAGTAGCACAGGTCTTCATCTAGTTTCCTTACATGTAGTTTTTGTCCCAGTGGAGGCAACATCACAGAGGAAGAGAAGTACTTACTTACCAGCAATAATTATTGTTCAAATTAATACTTTTGGAGACTCTTCTTCCTCACTTTCATTTTGAAGCCTAGGTAATTCTCTGAAAGTAGAAGAGGAAAAGAAGATCATTAGTTTTTATCCTTTTTTATCTTTATCCATGTTTTCATCCTTTGACTATTATATGCAGCATTCCAGAGATCATGCAAACACTCTTATTAAAAACATTGCTCAGAATTTTGTATGATTTGTGATTAGATGACTTGTAGCAAAACTCTTACGAAAAAGCAAACTTATACATATGAACAACTTCTATTTATACTGAGGTCCAAAAAAATAGAAACTGTCTGCTTCATTGCCAAAAAAAAACAACAAAGGTTAAGCATAGACCCTCAAGGCATCCGTGAAAACAAATTAAGAAAGCAAGGGGAAAAAAAGCAGCGGATTCATTCTTAGGATATATATAGCCAGGCTTTAGGAAAAAAAACATTGAGAAAAATTATAGGATCAAGATCCTAAAACCAGATGCCAAAAATTAAAATAGTAAACTTCTCAAACTGAAATAGTTTCCTCATGGAAAACAATAGGCTGTACCGTTAAAACAGATGTAAGCAAATTAAATCGGTTTGTACCACTTGTTTATTTATGTTTGTACATAACATAACATACATAGTAGACCATATATAACATAGTAGATTGTTTTAAACAAAATCTTACTTTTGGGTTATCAAGGCATGGAGTTGCTACATCATTTTATAACAGTGGTCTCACTAATTCAGAATGGCTGGATACTACTGCACTAAGTGTTGATTCTTGGCCATTTAACAGAAAAGCAATCAAAAGCTGCACATATCAGACTCTGAAACAGCAATAAATTGGATGTTGAAAAAATTCATTTGTGAACCTGACCTCAAGGATAAAACTGGGGAAGAAAAATAAATGGGAAACCAATTAAAGCAGCAATAATACCAGGAATAGGAGTGAAGAGAAAATGATAAATGCTTCAGATAATAGTCTTATTGCAATGAGAATTCTGCCAAATTAGTCTTATTTTTGAATGAAAACTAAGTGATTTTAGATTTCAAAGAGAGGCTTCAGCAGCTGTACTGTTAAATGAACATGGTGAACTGGCAACTCTAAAAATCTCAAAAGCAGCAACAGTGATAAAAATAAAAAAAAGACTGAATTCTCTATTTTCTTTTTCATGTAATAAATTATTTAAAATAATCAGCACCTACAAGGTCAGAGCCCATGAACTTCCAAAAATCGAATGCCTGGGGGAAC